TGTCTTTTACCTTTACGGTCCCCATGTGCCCATGTCTTTTACCTTTACGGCCCCCATGTGCCCATGTCTTTTACCTTTACGGCCCCCATGTGCCCCGGACCTGTACTTGTACAGCCCCCATGTGCCCCTGTCTTTTACCTGTACAGCCCCCATGTGCCCCTGTCCTGTCCAGCCCCCATCTTTTACCTGTACGGACCCCATGTGTCCCTGTCCTGTACTTGAGCAGCCCCCATGTGCCAGTCTTTTACCTGTATGGCCCCCATGTGCCCGTCTCGTATTTGTATGGCCCCCATGTGCCCCTGTCTTGTTCTTGTACAGCTCCACGTCCTAAAACTGAAAGTTTATTTAGGCTTTAACAATGTTGCATATTATCATAACTCACATGTGAAAAATATTTTTTATTTTGCAGTCTCCTTATTACAGCTGTCTTGTAATATGCTCTGTGCTGGTAATGAAATCAGTAATTAGGCCAGATGACATGCGCACCTGGAAGTGACGTGGCAGATAAATTTATCGATTGAGCAAAATGAAAGCATACTGGTAGTGGAGGCATGCCTCGTCAGTGCTGTGCGCGTATATGACTGCTGCGACCCTGGTATTTCTGCCACTAACTCCAAGCTGTAGAGGGACTACAAATCTCAGCACATTATACAACAATGTAAAATAATACCATCAGCTATAATGGACTATACCAGCATGGCCATAGTCCTCTATAGCTGAGGAGGTTGCGCTTGTCGGTGGATCCAGGGAACAGGTGAGGATTTAAAAAAAAAAAAAAAAAATGGGTTAATTTTGTTTTTATTTAAAAAATGTTGTCACCTTACCTTTGCCTGGTGGTCAGTGGGGGCTCCCTGGAGCCTGGTTGTGGGGGGGTCTGCTGTGGCCACAGGTGCAGTGGCTCCCTCCACCGCCTCTCTGCCACTTGCTCCCGGCCGGTTACAGAGCCGCATCTGATGCGGGTGGGGTGGGCGGCTGCAGGTGGCAGAGAGAGGGAACCACTGCACCTGCGGCCGGAGGATTAATTTAGCGGGGGGTTGGTGACGGGCCCCCTGACGGCCGCAGGCATGGGCCGTTTTTAAAGGCATCAAAGAGGACCAGGGGGCAATTGCCGCCCTGCCTCCCAGCCCAGTCCGCCCCTGTTCCAAGCACTGCAGAAATGTCAAAATTATTGGGTGGCTTTACAAGCCACTTGGAGCACTTCTACACATCTGACAAGGGGCACAATCAATAGAAAACAAACCTGTGGTACCTATTGCAGCTGAAGGTTTGTCTTCATCCTTCTAATGTAAAGTGGCAAGAGTGAAGCCGGGTGCTGGGACGATGTGCCAGTAGTTATATAATAAGTGGCCAAACAAAGGCTGAAGAGGAGCACCAGGAATCCTGAAGAAGCAACAGAGAAAGTGTTGACATCAGGGATTGGAGCAAAGAGGGATAGCTCTGATCTGACAGTGCTGCAGGAGGGTGAGTGAGGAGGAGAGGCGAGTCTGCCATAATGTGCAAGTATAATATATAATGTGCAAGTATGTTGTATAATTGAGCACTTAACCCTTGCAATGCAGAAGTAGCCCCACTGCAAGAGTTAATTTTGTACATGTCTGGAGTTCTTCTTTAATCCTGAAACTGTAGGTCCGCTGCTTTTGGCATAATGTGCACGTATGTTATACATGTACATTATGCCAAAAGCAGCGGACCTACAGTGTCAGGTTTAAAGAAGAACTCCAGGCATGTACAAAATTAACTCTTGCAGTGGGGCTACGTCTGCATTGCAAGGGTTAAGTGCTCGATTTGGTCCAGGGTTTAAAAAAAAAAAAAAGATATACTCACCCAATCCTTGGTCCCGTGGCGGTGTCTGCTCACCTTTCTTCCCCTTCAGCTGTGCAATGCCCCTTTGCGTCTTCACGTTCAATGAAAGTGACGACATCCTGGGTCCTTAGACCAGGGAAGAAGAGGCTGTGGGGTCTGGTCTAGCAGCCGGAGTTCTTCTCTAAGTGAACCTGTCACTACTTCCAACTTGCCAACTAACTTCACATGCACGCATTACTGAAAGAGAGCTCTTCTAGATGCCTTACTTAAAAATTCAGTTTTGCCAATTGAAGAGGCTCCAGCGTCATTCATAATGTACTTAGACTTCCTCCAAAAGAAAAAGCTTTCCGCTTCCAATGTCCTCTGCAGCAATCATCCACCCCATAAAACAGCACTAAATACAGATTTATTTTCCCTTTGCCTTGAGTTCTTCATGAGACACACACACACAAAAAAAAAATACAGTACACCTTTCACAACCAAAATGACAATAGTTTATTCAAGTTTGTTCAAATTCAAGCAAGGAACCCACCACAACCTTTTATTTGAACCGAAAATCGTCTTAACTATGCTGTTCAAAAGCATAAAATAAACAGTCTGTGATTATGCTTTCATCAGTACCATGTGCCACACTGTGTTGCTGGCTTATACAAAAAAGAAAAAAAAAATGGAGAAAAAAAAAAAAAAGGAAAAGGAAGTAAAAAGTATCTGTGTTGATCATAGAAACTTTTTTCTTTAATTTGGTAACCTGCACAGGAAAAGTGACGGCAGGATTCTGACTTGTTGAGAACAACAAAAACATAATTAGGGATGCAAACAGGAGATCTTAATATTGAAAGGTTTAACCAAGTGACCAAATTGCTTAGGTTTGAAGTCCCATACATTGTACTAGTACAAGCTGTGTCTCCACAAGATAAAAAAAAAAACTTGATTGACAAGTCTAACCTGATGTTAGTCTGTTGAAACTTGTATAACATGAGCCACCTGGTTTTCATGACCCATTGCAAGCTCTGAGGAAGGGGGAGTGGAGAACAAAATGCACTGGCTGTTATCAGATGACTTCTTATCAAGATTAATAAATCTTTAGTGGACTAATTGTTTACTTTGGCGCTCTCACTTTTCACACATCTGATCACTTCGGGGGACCCATGGAATACCTTTTAGGATAGGAAGTTGCTTAGGACCAGGCCTTGCACATATTTAACACCAGCACTCCACAAACAAGTACTTGGTATCCTGTTTAAACTGACACTGTCACTTCTATTCCTAAAGCTGCCCATACACCTTGCGATCATCGTACAAACCTTTTCGTCCAATGATCGAACCGTCGTCCAATTTTCTTACGGCGGCCCCATCCTGCCCCGATTATCGCAAGGGGGCAGGATGGGGTCGCACGTATTTTTATCTGCGTATGTGCAGTGTAAATCGTACGAATTTTGACGTATGGAAACGCCACCGACCTTGCGAAAATCAACAATTGACCAAAGTTTTCTAACCTGCTGGTTAATCAAAAGTCGATCGATTGTACAGTATTTGCGGTTGCACACTGCCTTAGGAATATCGGACGAAAACGGGATCGCATACGAAAATCAGTCTGCCCACTTAAGTCACATGATCAGTATTATAATAAGAGAAAACCTGCTGGGAAAAGCAATGAGCCAATCCCTGAGAAGTGCATAGAAGGTCCCCATTATTACAAAAAAAGCCATATCTCATTTTTTTTTGGGCAGCTTCTGAAAACCATAGCTGGCTGGAAAATGAAATCAAAAGAGGGGGGAGGAGAAATAGAGAGAGAGAGATTTAAAGTGGAGTTACCCTTTAAGTTTTCTCAGCCAAAACCAGGGCAGAATGCATATCTGACTGCTCACCAACATGTTTTGGACTTCATAGAATCTAACAGTTTCTTTTGAAAGAATCTGTTGTTGTAGTTAAGACCTGTGAGGAATTTTAAAGTACTTGGCATTTGGTTCTCCTGCAAATCAATACAGATTGGTATCACCTTGGCCGTATTGTTCTCTATAGCATTGACAAGGCACCATTCAGACACCCATTTGCGCCAACACTCTTCCAGAAAGCGAGGCGACAGTATAAGGAATGACACCCTGCTGGACTGGATCACGGTGTCAACCGCTGAAATTGCCGGTACTCCACCTGCTTGATCGCGGTGCTCAACAAAGCCATGGTAGCCATTCTTCTCCAAAATACCAGCAACCTGAAGAGCAATGTTTGTATCGTGTTCAGTGTGCCACAGGGAGAATTCATACTTATATTGTGCTGTGCACATATCTCAGTGGATACACAATGTCAATGCAGCATTTGCTTGTTGTAAAGGATGAGTATACTCTAACGAGTGGCATGTTATAGTTCTTTTCACCTATACCCTCAAAAATCATTGGCACCAAGTAGTTGTCCCAAAAACAAAATCATACGCTTGAACTATATTCACATGCCTGTTTCTCTTAGCTCTTCAATAACACTTTCAAGCTTAATCCCAGAAGATTTCAAAACCTCACATCGTTCCTTTAGCTCGTCCTGGGCTTCCTTCAACTTGTTGTTTAATTGCACATAAGAACAACTCTGTAAGTACTGCTTATTTGCCTCACTGGATGCATCATGAGTAGGAATAAAGGTCTCTGTTAGAAAAACATGACAAAGAAAAAAGTGAACAGAAGACCTAGGCCCAAAGGGAAGTGGCAGACAAACACACAGATGAATTAAATATAAAAGCTGTTCTATCTACCAAATGATTTGCAAAGCAATGCACATACTCTTATGACTCACCCACCTCTTCTGTGATTTATGAAAGCATAACATCACTTTTCAGAGCCTGCAGTAATGCTGATTGCACCAATCATTAGATGAAGCTGAGGAGCAAAGCCAATAAATTCTCCTCGGCTCCATCTAGTGGCCATAATGTGGCATTACATTACATTTGACCTGAAAAGAAAACATACAAAGAACGTTTCTTTTTCCTCTATTAGCACAGAATGAATGTTCTCCGAAACTCGCACAGCGAATGGCTTTGCAAATAGTTTATAAATAGACCCTGAAGTGTTTGTATTTGTTGATTATAAAGTGAACTAGAAAAAATATATGAAAAATATACATAGAAAAGATATTATGAAGTTTGAAGGAACACAAGTGGAAGTACATCTTCTAATACATGCATGGAGAGTTATTATTTTATGCTACCATCAACATCTTGCTACCAGAATATCTATCGTACCCTCGCTGAGGTCACAAGCGAATACCGGGTCAGATGCTATTGCACAACGAACATCTTCCAGAATCTGTTCTACAGTAGGTGGTTCAGGTCGAGAAGGAAGAACAATGCGCTTTTTGGCTCTAGAAGTCATCTTTAGAATGTCTCATTAAAAGTAGTCTGAAAACAGAAAACACATAGACCATTAAATATAGCAACAAGGTTAGTAGATTTTTACAGAAAGTTTGAGACAAACTACCTGTTTTCTCCCATCCAAAAATGTCTGCAAAACTACCCCCTGACTGACCAGCAATAATTGCACTGCAGCGCCAATCTACCTATGAGTATGTGTACTTACCTTTCCAGTGGTCCGTGTCCTCAAACCTCTCTGCAAGTATTCCACACTTTTGTGCGTGTCGGATACCTGCTCTCCCTGCTGCTGTGGTTCCTCCTGCCAGCTTCTATGTCATGTATTGACCTCTGAGCTGGCGGGAGGAACCACAGTATGTGTTGGATGGAGTGAGTAATTACACAACGGGCTCAGGGCTCCAGAAAGAAAAGCACTGATGTTCTTCTGTTACAGCCCAGGCTTTTACAAGTGACCTTGTGGTAAAGGGTTTACTTCAAGGATACAAGTATAAAAACTTCCATAGAAGTTGGGTTAGTCTTATCAGGCCTGAAGCATTTTCTACTACTCCAGCCCCCCCCCAAGAAACTCACCATCTCCCTCCCTCTCCAATTCTCTCTCCTATTCTATCTCATGCATTCCATCTCTCTTAAGGTGCCCATACACTGCTCGATTCTCGTACGAGAATCGAGCAGTGTGAACGAAGACGTGCGACCGTTTCTACTGTACGGTCGCTCGTCTTTTGTCTAAGGAGCACACTAGAAAACCAGCCGAAAATCGTACGATTTTCTGCTGGTTTGAACGGTGCTCGGGAGACAAATGCCGAACGGGCCGGTGTGTGCACGCGCACACTGCCCGTTCAGCATTGCGGTCATCGTAAAAAAAAAAAGACATACCTCACCTAAACCTTGGAGCCAGCTGGCTGTTAAGATTGATCCATGGAGCCTCTCTCCCCCCTCCATTGCAGCAGTCTAAGGTCCTACATTGTATAGGACGTGAGGAGATAGATGGACATTCCATCGCTGGAGCGGAGGGATAGACAGGCTGCAAGGATTGTTCTGACAGCCAGCCGGCTCCGAGGTTCAGGCGACTATGACAATATTATCCTACTCCCTAGACCAGGGGTGGGCAACCTTGGCGCTCCGGCTTGGCATTGCAAGGCTTAAGAATAATTCTGCCCGGAGTTCTTTAATGTCACACAAAGTCAATCAGCTTCTGGGCTTCTGTTCCTGCTATCTGCACTCCATGGGAGTGCTGGTATTGTAAACACAATGTATAAAAAGGTGCCCATACACTGTACAATTATCGTACGATAATCGCGGGAAATCCCGCGATCGTACGATAATCGCAAAGTGTATGGAAGGCGTGCAACCGTTTCTACTGTACGATCGCACGTCTTCCGTCGAACAAGCAGGCTGGAAAACCCGCCGAGAATTGTACGATTAGTGGCGTGCGTGTTTGACAACTGCCGAACGGGCCATTGTGCGCACGTGCACACTGCCCTTTCAGCATTGCAGTCATCAGCGAGTCGTGCTTGCGACGATCGCAAGTACGATCTGCCTGTCCAAGATGGGCAGATCGTACGGTTTTTTAATTACTTTACAACTAGGGTTGTACAGTGTATGGCCACCTTAACAGTGTTTCTGTACCGTGTTTACCTCCTGTTAGAATGCAGGCTCAGGCAGAGCTGAATCATCACTGTCCAGCCTCTCTCTTCTGTATGAAATCATTGCTATAGCAATCTATTGTTGACTGATTGCAGCCAGCAGTAGATCACTGTGACAGCAGAAAAAGGGGGGGGGGGGGGGAATTTACTGCGTAAGCAAGCACAATGTCATTCCACATTTCAGCACACCTTTAAAAAATCAGACATGCCTCTTTTTGTATGCAGCACACCTTGTGGCGTGCTGCAGTGTGGCTGTGTTTGCTGCTACTGTAGCAGCGATTTGGGGTGTCATTCAAAAGGAATAGCACCAAGGCATATGCACAACGGTGCAAAGGTTACCATGCATTGTGTTAAAGAAAACTATTGTGCAGTCCTATGGACATGTGGGGGGTGGCACTGGAGAAGGTCTCTAAATTGCCCACCACTGACATTGATTAAATAGACTTATATTTGTAAGTTGAATATGATCACGCACATGTTTCTAGAGAGGAATGTATAAACACAAAACGTGAGGATTTCCTGGGACACTTAACCTGTAATAAAAGCTGGGGACAAGCCCACAAAGCTATTCATGACATAAATATTAAAGGGTGCATTCACACCATGGCGATACATGGATTTCACGGTTCCGTGCAATTAGCGCATGCTACTGCACAACACACCTACCGTGTGTTATAGTGTGAAGGTGCATTGTGCTGCCATTCATCTGCTCACATACGGTGAGAAGTGAACCTATGTATATATACACACACAGCAACAGCATCTCATTAACCTTTATGTCAGCAATGATTAAGCCTGACATAGATATCATATTTATGTCTATTAAGAATGCGCTTACCTCTGTGTTGTGGTATCCTGTTTTTGAAGTCTTTTTATAGCATGCACTGCAGAGCGTCTCTCCCTGATTCCTACTTCCTGTTAACACAGTCATCAGGGAGTGTAGTTTAGTGCCATGATAGGGAACTACATATCCCATGAGTCATTGGGTTGTTGGCAAGCCGGTAGAGGAGGTGCGAGGGAGGCAGAGGAAGGCGCTCCTCTCTGTTAGGAAGTGGAGCAGCTGTGCATAGTAACCAATCAGCTTCAGGGGGAGGCAACCTCCACAATCCAGCTACACTCCCCTCCAAATTTCATCATACCTCTCTGAGTCTTGTAATGCCTTATGGGGCTTGTAGTTGCACAACATCTGCTGTGCTATAGAGATGGGAAGTTCGGATCTTTCAAATGAATCGGTTCATTTGGATCAGTTCATTCAAAAGAACCGATTCATGAATCGAATCTTCGGTTCACTGGCTGTTTCACGGGTCATATTACAAAGCTAGCTAGCCTCTGCTATAGGGTCTCTGCTTTACGTCACATGGAGCTGCTGCAAACGGATCAGCTCACTCAGCTGAATCGACTCCACCAGTTCAGTGAATAGAATCGATTCAAAAGAACGATTCGTTCATGAACTGGACATCTCTACTGTGCTGAGGTTGCCTGTTGTAGCTTAACTGAACAAACTGAAGATAGCAGCTGATTGGTTACTATGCACGGCAGCTCCAGTTTTAGTAAATGTCCCCAGTAAGGGTTAATGCGTTCTCCTCTGTCCTGTGATCTCAGAGCAGCATTGAGAAGTGGAGGGTGAGCCTGAGGGCACCCATGTGCTGCAGATTATTTCCTGACAAAGCACCAAGCAGCTCCTTTACAGGTCTGTACAATACAAAGAAGAATGTGAGTTCATAGAGGATGAAAAAACGCTGCAAAGTCACTCAATACACCCCAGGACTGAGGATAAAGTGCCCATGTCTTTCTTATTCCAGTCCCTTCAGAAAAATGAGCAATTAACCCTTGCAATGCAGGGGGAAGCCCTACCACAATGGCTAACATTTTAAATAACATTTTAAAGACACCCAGAAATTTGACAAGTTCTTTATTAAAAATAAAAAAGGCTCCTGTTGCACATCCTTCGTCAATCACGTCTAGCAATGAAGATCCTTGGCAATCACTGTGAACCGCACTCACAGAAAGAAAGAACTCGCCGAAGACTAACGCTGAATGACAACTTTCCGAGATGTCATCTGTAATATAAGGGAAGGGGTGGTGATAGGGTTGCCACCTGTCCACTATTGACCCGGACATTCCGGGTTTTGAATGCTGTGTCCAGGTTTCATGGCAGCTGAAACCCAGACACAAGGGGGGTGATTTACTAACCTAAACACACGCACGCACTACATGCGTGTGATTTTTACACAGCAAAACGTATTTATCAACCAAAAAGTCTCTAAAAGCATATTTCCACTAATGCCATATATGGAAAAATCATGCACATGATATAATGCTGCTTCACAGTTTACACAAAAATGGTTAGCTCATGCATTTACATTCCTGCATTCATCAACGCAAGCAACACAATGTAGAGCTAATTTACACAACATCACCTTGCAATTCATGCAGGGCTTTGCACAACACACCTGCTGGGTGTGTACACACTACAAAGGTGTCTAGATTCCACCAATACATCATGCTGGGAGGGAACACACTACAAAGGTGTATACTTGTTCGTGGACGTGTTTATTTGGTTAGTAAATCAACCCCAAGATGTCAGGCAGACATGGGCAACCAAAATTAAGATAGGGACTACTAGTCCCACACTGAAAATAGTCTCGACTGTGATATGTACATATGAATGGCTGGTACTATTTACATATGAATAAGCAGCGACTAATTTTCCCCCAAAAATGTCCGTGCGTCTCTAGAGTGTTCGGGTTTCGTTTGAAGAAAAGGTGGCAAACTTAGGTGGTGACATCGTTGATTATATTTAGACAATGTTGTCACCATTATCTATGCTCCTGTGCTACATGACTGGGGATTTCTGGCCATATAAGTGAATGGGCCAGGTGACGTCAACCGATAGTCAGCTTTACACATGTAAACAGAGTCTGCTTACAGGGCCCCACTGCTGCCGATGTAAGGCATACATTTGCAGCAGCAAAAGGTTTAAATGAAAAGGTCACTCGTTTTTTCCTCTCTTATATATAAGCCTAGTCTGTTCCCCCAATCCTCTGCCGGACTTCCTCAGGAGCAGTATCAGTGCCACCATCCATACACATTTTTACACATAGCAATTTATTTCTGCCCTTAATGCTAACCCATTAAATTCCATACCAGATAAACACCATTGTACTAAATACATCTCACCATCAAGTGTTCAAATTGTATATTACAACCAAGCACTCAAATAATTTATACAAGCCAGAAATAATGCTTACCATGCACACAATATAACAACCATAAAATCATATAAAATAAAAAATATTATAAAATACATAAATAATAATACACAAATATTTAGGGAACACACTACAAAGGTGTATACTTGTTCGTGGACGTGTTTATTTGGTTAGTAAATCAACCCCAAGATGTCAGGCAGACATGGGCAACCAAAATTAAGATAGGGACTACTAGTCCCACACTGAAAATAGTCTCGACTGTGATATGTACATATGAATGGCTGGTACTATTTACATATGAATAAGCAGCGACTAATTTTCCCCCAAAAATGTCCGTGCGTCTCTAGAGTGTTCGGGTTTCGTTTGAAGAAAAGGTGGCAAACTTAGGTGGTGACATCGTTGATTATATTTAGACAATGTTGTCACCATTATCTATGCTCCTGTGCTACATGACTGGGGATTTCTGGCCATATAAGTGAATGGGCCAGGTGACGTCAACCGATAGTCAGCTTTACACATGTAAACAGAGTCTGCTTACAGGGCCCCACTGCTGCCGATGTAAGGCATACATTTGCAGCAGCAAAAGGTTTAAATGAAAAGGTCACTCGTTTTTTCCTCTCTTATATATAAGCCTAGTCTGTTCCCCCAATCCTCTGCCGGACTTCCTCAGGAGCAGTATCAGTGCCACCATCCATACACATTTTTACACATAGCAATTTATTTCTGCCCTTAATGCTAACCCATTAAATTCCATACCAGATAAACACCATTGTACTAAATACATCTCACCATCAAGTGTTCAAATTGTATATTACAACCAAGCACTCAAATAATTTATACAAGCCAGAAATAATGCTTACCATGCACACAATATAACAACCATAAAATCATATAAAATAAAAAATATTATAAAATACATAAATAATAATACACAAATATTCTTAGAGAGGCTTGGAGGAACAGAGTTGGTTATATATGGGAGAAGAAAAAAGCACAAGGCCATTTAGTTCCGGATGAGTTCATTTAAACCAGGGGCTATTTCTTCATGTGGTGTGGATCACAAATATTTGTTGTTTGAGTTGGGGCACACATGTTGGTGAATAACGCACAAGAGGAAAATTCAGTTTATTATTGTTTTTGAGCTGTTGCTATGGACTAGGACATTTCTATTATGGTTTATTTTTAATTCTCTTGAATATATGGATTTATTTTTTATGATGATATTTTTTGTATTAATAATTTAAGATGATTGGCAACATTCTTCATAGATTTGGCACTTTTACATTGTAGCGCTGTGCATTATAACTTTTATCAAGGAAGAGGAAAAGTGACTCTTGGAAGAAATAAAAAACAAAGACAGAGGGACAGCAGCAGAAGAGGGACAATGTTCAATGACATTCTACAACTAATAAGCTCCTAAAGGTTAAAGAACAAAAAGGTACTAATCAGTGTAGATAGGACTCTCAGATTAGCAGGTAGTGTGAGCAACTGGGGCACTGACTTTTCAGTGAAGGTCTCCTGAGCGTTCCACAATGGGGATGCCAGAAAAAAAAGGCACTAGGTTGGTAAAAGGGTCAGTAACATGGGTAGGGTTTAGAAGAGTTAAAGGAGAACTGTGAGGCGAGTGAAAAATCACTCAGCCTCATAGTTCGAGCCGACGTGTGACAATGAAACTGTCACACGTCGGCTCAATAGTTCGGGAAGTGGGCGAACACATACCGTAGCTCGCTCACTTCTCGATCCTGTGCCCGCAGAGAGCCGTGACCATCACTCACGGCTCCCTGCAGGGATTCCCCCCCCTCCCCTGTCCGATCCTCCAGCGCTGACTGGCGGAACGGACGGGGGAGAGGGCAGGTACAGCTTGCTCTGCCTAAAGATAGGCAGAGCCAGCTGTCACTCACGCAGCTAGGTGGATCCAGACAGTATTGTCGGGATCTGTCCCGGCTGCGGCGTCTGTGGCTGTAGCTCGCGGTATACTGAGCTTTGGGTGACGGGAAGACGCTAGTTTGTGTCCTCCCGTTACCCTTAGAGGAGAACTATGGGGGAAAGCAAGGACCCCATAGTTCTCCTTTAAAGAACACACACACAAAAAAGGCATAGCAGCAGAAGGAACTGATCCCTGTTGAGCCTGTAGGCCACAAGGGAACTATACTACCACCTATAATGTAAAATGACTCCCCTGTGAAGAGGAATACAAGATCAAATGGGATAGCATTCACAAGGGTAAGGTGCTATCAGAGTAGGAATTAGGACTTGTTCACACCAAGGACGGAGCAGATGCAGAGCAGAGCAGATTAAGAACGCATCCAATGTAGGCCAATTGTATTTTGGTCTCTAGTTCACACCACAGCGTTCAGTTCCAGTGCTTGTGGAAAAACTGCAGCAAGCCCTATTTCCCATAACGTCTTCCAGGACAGCATCACGAGATGGAATCTCCTCCCCCACACACAGGTAACACGTCACTTAAACTCCTTAAAAGACCCCCCTCTCCTCCACTCCCTCAGTCTTTTGTGTTTCCTCAGTCAAGCTGGGGAGCGCATCACAGAACGCTGAGAGGGGCTTCCATGTGGTGATGCTGCCCGGGAAGTCTCCTTTTGTTAATGGCGGCCTATGTAGGGCAGATGGAGTAGGATTGCCTACCTGTTG